AAATGGGAAAAACTACTCGATTTAATGAGTAATGTATTGCTAAAGCTAGATTTTATTTCACAAATGCTTTATTTTGCATTCAACAACAAAAAAAAAAGCTCCTGCCTGCTAATGAGATCCCAGAGAGTGTTTTCCAGTTGCGATAGAGCTCTTTCAGGCCGTTTCTCCTCCTGGTGCTCAGAGGAATGCAGATGACACCATGTCTAAACCCTCCAGGCGCTCTCAGTTTTCTTTCTCTGCTTCACATTATTCAAATAGCAGAGAACGCTATGACATCCAGCTGTTCGAAGCACATCATGATTTTTTTTTTGTTATTTAGCAACAATGATCTTCAAACAACACAACCCAGTGAGGTTCTTTTTTATACAAAGTATCCACCACTATCCCTTATTTACCCTTGATATTTGCTCTAATGGCTTTTGTCCTCATTTTTTTGCATTACCATTAATAAAATAATGGTACATAGCGCCACCTACAGTTCACATGATTAAGTAGCTTCTTAAGAAGTTCCTGTGAGAAAATAAACTCAAATATGTTCTTTAGCTGCATATCTAACCTGACTGTTTAAAGGATTATTTAAAAAAATGTTTCTGTAATGCATTCATAATAGCAATTTTATTCAAAATTTCATAAGGGCAAAATAAAATGCCAAATAGCATTTAAAATACATTTTTTCATGAACAGTTCAGCCAGATTGTTATTAATTCTTAACCACAGGCAAGTTCAGCAAAAGAACTGAAGGAATAATAAAAACCTGAAACATTGTTGGATCAGAGGCATTAGTGTCATATTAGGCAACAATAGACTGGGAGTAAGAGCAGTCACAGATGTTGTCATAATAATAAAAAAGTGTAACGAGCACTTGAAGGTCAGTGCAGCATGCTGACAGCATTAGTTCAAWACAAGCAGTGTATTATCAGGTTAAATGTACAAGTTATTAAGGCTATTTTAAATGCTGACAACCCTGTTCTTGTATTCTGTGAAAAACTTTAATAAAGCTATAACTTTGTGTTCCAGTGTTATTGCTTTGCTTTGTGCATAAAAGAGACAAGTGCTTGGTGTATCTTCTCCATGCTGTATTCTCTGCTGTGAGATAACACAACAGTAAGATTTGTGCCTACTAATGCAAAAATAATAATTTATTCAACTTATTTTACTCGTAGAACTGACCTGCAGTGTGTTTTTTTCCCCTCTGTTCACCAAAAAAATACTTGTTGCTTTAGAGCTGCAGTTGTAAAAGCCTGCAAGTTTAACCYCATGCCACGCAAACGTATCGTCTCTGGTGGGAAGAAATATGTGCCTGAGGGACTGTAGCCAAGGATCAGGTCATGCTGCTGTACTGTGAGAAGTACAAGCTGAAGCTTTCTTCATGTAAACCAGATGTCTCTGTTTTCTATCTCAGCTCGAGCTGCTGTGACTCAGGGCTGCTAATACTGAACAATGATGTTCAGCCAGTGGAAATACAAGGGGAATTTTAYACCGAGAGTAAAAAAAATACCTGTTTACCACATTATTTTGTAAGCCAATTTTTAGATTATCTTAAAAAGACACATTACTTGTGTGACATTTTTGTCATAMTTGTATAAAACGTCACAACTACTTCCGCATATTACATGTTTAGCATTTACATGACATAACACCTGACATACTGCTTACTAAATCTCAGTTGAGACAAATAAAAAGGTACTCAATGCAGACTATAAAGCAAAACACAAAAAGCTTATCCTGAACTATATCAAATGCTGCAGTTTGAAAGAGTTTACTCCAAGAGATGCACTGATATACTGAAGTGCAGGCACACACTCAACGTAAACAACTGCACTTTGCAGAATCTAGTGGAAACCACATGGAAGCTTGAGTCATATGACCGAGAACATTATGCTGGCTGTAGTCTGAGTAAACAGATTCAAAACGTCCAAGCCATCATTTTAATGTGAAATAAATACACACCATATTGCATATTAAAATGATGGCTTGGATTTTTACCTCCGCCAAGGGCGAGGTAATTGTCGGTTGCGTCTGTCTGTCGGTCTGTCTGTGGACAACATTACTCAAAAACCTGTGTACAGATTGTCATGACATTTTTACCACATGTGGGTACTGGGCCAAGGAACACACCTTTAAATTTAGGTGATGTTCCGGATCACGATGCGGATACAGGAATTTTTTTTTTCTTTTAACACTCTGAGATCGGCAAAGCTGTGATGCTTTCACGGGGCTTCTGTAAAAAAACAGTGAGCTGGATTGGACAGCACGGACTTYAAACTTTATAAAAGTAATGTTAAAACCACATTTAATGATGAATAATTTTTCCCATAATATGCACATTTAGAGAACGCTTCGTGACCAGGAAGTGCGACTGCACCATGAAACTTTTTTCCCCATTTCCTCAAACACACCACATTTCCGAAACAACCAATCAAAACAGTTTCTCGCTACTAGGCTTGTAAACAGAGAGCTGCCGGGCCTCAAGGGAGCCAGGAAGCACTTTATAAAGAGAGTCAAACCATTACAAACTCATACAAGGGGATAAAACAGACGTTTTACATNGGGGGAGCCAGGAAGCACTTTATAAAGAGAGTCAAACCATTACAAACTCGTACAAGGGGATAAAACAGATGTTTTACATGGTGAAACGTGACTGATGAAAACTTAGGARCTTAATCCGACACCAGTTTGACGATGAATAACGTTGGGTGACGAGTCTGACTTTTCTTTTTTTCACATTGGACTCCACAGAGAAGAAATCCCATGCATACTGCCTGCTTAAATGTTCACTACGTCAGAACTTATTCTACAAATGTGTTTCCATCTCTGCTTTTGCATATTACTGTTACAGGATGGGGGAAATTGCGGAGGTTTGCACTCTCCGAGTGCTTCTAGTTTGAATCTGTTRTCTGGTTAAGTTGGTAGAGCTGAGGCCTCTCCGCAAGCAGGTCACTGGATCAAATCCCAGCCCTTTCTGGTAGAGTTTGCATGTTCTCTCTGTGCATGCGTGGGTTTTCTCCAGGTACTCCGGCTTCCTCCCACACACCAAAAAACACAACTGTTAGTTTAATTGGTAATTCTAAATATTCTCTAGGCGAGAGTGAGAGAGTGAATGGTTGTCTCGTTTCTCTCTCTGTGTCTCTGTGATGGACTTGTGACCTGTCCAGGGYGTACCCCGCCCCTCGCACAGTGACTGCTGGATRTGGGCACCAGTGACCCCCGTGATCCTGAAAGGAAGACGCTGGTATAGATGATGGATGGATGGAATAGACATCACACTCACGAGTTCATTAGGGGTGTTTTCAAAATACACACATCTCATTAAACAGAAGCATTTGGGTTAATAATAGGCGAAGGTGTGGCAGCGTTGCATTAAAAAAATGCTGTAACTTTGTTTTCATGGCTGTTGTTTTAATGGTCTCCTGGATACGATTATCCCTCAGTGACTGAGTGCACGCCCACAAAAAAATGTGACTTTGATTACTGACTTGGAGTAAGATTTGCATCCAAAAGCTCTTTCTCACCATGACTGTAAGCTGACAGCATGGTCATGTGAGTCCGCAGGAAGGATCTCAGACCTCAAGAGTTCAGCTCGAGTAGGAAAAAAAAAGCTTGATGTTTTATAATATCTAAGACAAGATCATTTCTGTTCCAGCTTTGCAGTTTACGACAAGAAACAGGCCTGTGTTAAATCATGCACACCCTTCTATAAGTCATAAATCACAATCAAAATCTGCTTYAAGTCTCCAGAAAAATCTAGCCTCATTCAGAATTTAGAAAAAAAAAAGCTTTGGCTGTTTGGATCAAAGTTGTTGTGAATGAGTGTAGRGAACAGAACTACCTGGCATTCATCATAAGCCTAATCCGGTGGCGGGTCTGTAAAATGTCTCCAGTATAATAAACAAACAAAGTTACCATGAGGACCAGTTTAAGCACATATTGTTTTACTCAGTAATATAACACAGTGTATTTTCTGCACATAATGTTGTCATTTTGCTCTTCTGCACTCAAGTTCAAATCTGCTTTCTTGGATCTGATTCCAGTTATGCAAAAAGTTCTGGACGGATGCTAACAGCTGCAAAAACCCAAAAACACACTCTAAAAATGAAACGTTGGATTTACTTAACCATGTTATGTTACCTGGTTCCACTTAACTGAGTTGAGTAAATTCAAAGCAACATACTCATTTGGCTAAAAAACTGGTATACTGCTTTGAATTTACTCAACTCAGTTAAGTGGAACCAGGTCACATAACATGGTTAAGTGAATCCAACATTTCATTTTTTACAGTGCATGGCATCCAAATATTTACTGTATCTTTGCCTAATAACATGAATCGAGCTCTACAATCAACACCTGTCGCAGCTGCTTTCCCTAATAGAAATCATGCTTTGGAATACTCCACATTTCTGGTTCCGACTTGTCAAATCTGTTCCACCTTTTTTGCATCCCTGTCAAAACAAAGTGACTTCATTAAACAGGATGAGCTGAATCACACATGGTGATAAAACAAAACCGCATAGGCAAATCAGCTCTGTGAGTCAAACTTTGAGATGTTGCAAGAGCATGCTTGATCAGTGGAAGGATTTATTTATTTATTTATTTATTTATTTATTTATTTATTTATTTATTTATTTATTTATTTATTTATTTATTTATTTATTTATTTATTTATTTATTTATTTATTTATGCAATTTTAGATTATATGCAAGCTCTGCATGTATGCAGGATATGCATCTAATTTGAATAGTATCTCTTTTTAAATAATGGTTTCTGACAATCCTTGGCTAATGGAATTTCTATCACTTGCAGAAGTTTAAACCAGGAACAAGTATCTAATATGGAAAATAAATTAATAAAAAAGTTGCATTTAAAAGTTTAAGGTGTTCGAAATTTATCGCTAATATATTTGCAAAAATAAAAACAACATTGTTGCATCATCTAACACTTAATCCATATAAAACTGTCTGACTCAATAAGATCAGACTGAAGAAGAAATAGTTCCACAAACCTTACACGGAGTCTCCTCAGCCTCGGTACCAGAGTGCCGCATCAGCGTCGTCTCCAAGCTCCTCGTCTGTCTCAGCTTCCTCTTGGACAGRCTTCTGGGGCTCAGCGAGCAGGAGAAAACGCTGCTCAGCAGTCCCTGAGCGCTCATATCCTTTTTTTGTTTGTTTGAACTATTCGCGTATCGGAGAGAGATGAACACAAACAAGTTCACATCCCTGCTGAAGCCAGCAGCAGATCGAATCCTTCTGAAGTCTCCGTCCACGATCCAGCGCGCAGAGGCGCAGCCAGTATTATGAAATACGCGCCCGCACCATGCTCCTCCAACTCCCAGCGCGCTGTGACTCAGTGCTTCCTGCTGCGAGAAGTGTGGTAATTCCCCCCAAAACACTCTGATAAACTGTGTTTAAAGTGTGCGCGCGTGTATCTGTGCGTCAGAGGCAGGTCTAAGTTGACTTTCATTTTAATTAGCAGCAATATTGCATTTCTAGTACATTCATTATTAGTGCTTGGATAAAAACAAGAAAGTGAGAAACACTCATTTCCTTTGTGGTCCAAAAATTAAGTGATAGAGTTCTATGGGCTAGACACAATAACCCTAACCCTTTAAAACTAAAAAGGACTGCTACACAAAGAAAAATATTTCCCCCCACTAAAAAGTCTTGAAAATATTGGGGAAAAGGAAAACTCACCAAATATTCTCACACTTGAAGTGACTGTTTTGAAACTGGGCTTCTACTGAGCAGAAGCCATGTTATCTGCTAGCTTCCGGAATAGATGTGAAGAGATAAAGTTTAATTCCGTTTAGATTGATGAGCTAACAGCTGGTCTGAGCAGCCCCAAGGTGGATTTCTGCCAATAGGTCCAATATCAGCAGCAGCAGCTAGCTGTAGCATTCCCAGATCAACCTCGGGGCACTTACAGCAGGAGAAGTATGTTAAAGAATACTGTTGTGAAATTTTAGTCTTTTTGTTATCTAAAAAAGTTTGAGCAAGTTTTGAATAAATTACACACACTGTAAAAAATGAAATGTTGGATTTACTTAACCATGTTATGTGACCTGGTTCCACTTAACTGAGTTGAGTAAATTCAAAGCAATATACCAGTTTTTTAACCAAAGAACATGAGCATGTTGCTTTGAATTTACTCAACTCAGTCAAGTGGAACCAGGTCACATAACATGGTTAAGTAAATCCAACATTTCATTTTTAGAGTGCTTTATAAGGCCACAAAAACTCATATTTTATCAATTTATGAAATGTCCCATG